CTCTCTCTCTCTCTCTCTCTCTCTCTCTCGCTTTCGATCATATTATGCTTAGAGAGAAAGCTATTCTTACCGAACATAACCCGAAGCGATCGTAATATACAGTAAATAAGGGTTTTATGCGTTTCGGAGGCATGTCTTGCCTTTTTTTGTTGTTGTCGTGTATTAAAAATAAAATTTCTTTGATGGCATCGCCAAACACAGGGAGTGTGTAGTTATCACATCAAATCAAATCATACATTCAATTTTACCATCAAATATTGAGCGAGAGATTGGCCTTCAATATATTCTCGTCGCACATACCATATAATTAGGTCCGTGACTGTCATTCAACACAATGCAAAATCTAATGTAAATTCTCTATTATATTCTGTTATACAATTTGATGGCATCTTTTTTGCCATATATTTATATTATGTAATATTGAGGAAATCGATTATTGCGCTGAACATGGTTATTTGTGTGTAGTTTTTTAATGAAATGTATGGTCCGTTTTGGGTACCCCTTCTGCGCCACAATAGTATTTCTATACAAAAAACAAACTAAACTAAAGGCCTTAAGTATAGTATTATATATAAATTTTTTTAGTGATGCTGTGAATCAAATGAAATGCATTAAAATTGGGCTCCAGTTATGGTCCACGCATTTCCCCCTCCATTCACATCACAGCCTAACTAATAGATCAATGCCTGAGAGACTCTCAATCGTCAATATACACGAGTCTGACGTCTATTTATGCCGTGTTTTTATACTACATATATATTGAGATTTAATATTTGATTGCGTTTATTATAAAACACACAAATGTCTAACTCATGAGCTCTTATTATTTTTGCCTAACATTCGCTCTCTTTTCTCCATCTTTTTCCTATTCTGAGCGCTATTTTCCTTGAAGTCAAACATAAAAACAGAGCCAATATTTGATCGATTATTCAGATATAAATTTTTGATTGCATGGCTATAACTCAAAATTCAATGACAAGAGAGAGGAAAAATACACACTAAATGAATTTATAAATATTTAAAGATAAAAATACAATTTTGTATAGCATTTAACGAAAGTTAACAGAGAGGCGAGGTTAGCTCGTCAATAAAATTTACGTAAAATGTTGAACCAAACGCTTATCAAATCACGATTTTTTATTTCATATTTAATTATTGATTTATTTGTGAAATATATTATTTAATAAACGAGTGGAGTATTATATTTTAATATTTAATATATTTAACATCAATTCAGAAATTTTTTTGTTGCTGTTGTCGCAATATATTTAACTCAATTTAGTAATTATTTTATGAATTTAAAGTACAATATTTACCATGTAGTTAGGCATAAAGAATAAGCCATTATTTTAATGTGCAAAATAATGTAAATACTAATTAAATATATTATTTCTTTCTTTTCTTAAAGTGAAATAACATTTTGAGACAAAAATCATATTTAATTTTTTAGTCGATTTAATGTCGGGATAGAAATGTTTAACAAAGAAAACATAGGCTTGAAATAAGATTTTGCTATATTAATGTTAGTTTATTCTGTATATATATAGTGTGTGTATAATATAAAATATAAAAAACAAAATTGCAAAACAGTTTTTTAGTTGGATATAAAGTATTCACATAAAAAACACATTGTTTTCACACATAAAGCCACTTGTGTTCAAACAGATTTCCGATACATTAAAACACTATTAGATTTCTGTTTTTAGGCAAAAAAGGATAGGCAATAGAGGAGAGGAATTCATAAATATTTAATCACTAATTCATTAATTAATTAATTATTTAAAATAAGTCTATCGGCAGAAAGGAAACAGAGAAGAAATCTGTGAGTGAAAAATGGTTTGCAATTAAGCGATAAAGAAATAACAAAAATACTAAATTAATGTCACAGACATATAACTGGCATATAGTGTGTGTACAGACAGAATATTCTGCTCTCTTATACGCATACAGAATATTCTGTGCAAATAATAGAGAGTGAATATAACCGCTAATAAAATATATATATTAATCCATTGATGATTATTATTGATTAACTGTTCCCCTCGCCTTCTCTCTCTCTCTCTCTCTCTCTCTCGCTCTCTCTCTCTCTTATACGACTTCAGGTAATCCATTGGCGACCATCACGTGGTATAGGAATAATAGGAAACTGCGGACCCAAACAGTGATGATTCGCGACAACAATACAGTTGTGTCGTCGATAACGTTGGAGAGGATAGCCAGGGGTGACATCAATTCTGTCATCAGATGCCACGCGGCCAACAGCGAGCTCACCAAACCTGTCGTCAAAACCATCACGATTGATATAAATCGTAAGT